TTCCCCAAAAGCTACAGTGATCAAGACGGTAAGAGTGTGGGCATAAACAGATCAACAGAACAGAAAGTAGGATCTAGAAACATACGCGTAACTGACTATATCAGTTGATAACGCTTAACTGACTGTATCAGTTGATACAACTGTCAACTGACAGTTGATATTCAACAAAAATTGCAAGACAATTCAGTAGGGAAATCTTTTTGACAAATAGTGCTGTAACAACTGGATAAATGTGTGGAAATAGGAAGAAGCTCAACCCTAATCTCACTTCAAAAAATTTAATTCGAGGTGGTTCATCTAGATGTAAAACTATAACTTCTAGAAACAAACAAGGAATATCTTTGCAACCTTGGTATAGATAAGGATATCTTAGAGAAAACACAATAAAAGCTAAATAGAAAAAAAATGATAAATTGTACATCATTAAAATACATCATTAAGAAATTAAAAAAAAAAAAAAACCCGAAAGGAAATATTTACAATGCTGGATCTGACGAAGACTTCTACCCATGACATATAAAGAGCTTCTACAACTCAATACAAACAGCCCAATTAAAAAATGGGCAAAGGATACTTTACTAATGAAGATATATAGATGCCAATTTGAAAAGATGCTTAAAATCATTAGTCATTTAGGAAAGACATTAAGCCACAATGAAATACTACTTGATAGTCATTAGAATAGCTCATATTAAAGAGTCACAATAATGAACATAGATGAGGATATGCAGCAAATGGGATTTACTGTGTATGACTGCTGGATAAAAGCTCAGCCACTTTGGGAGAACGGTTTGCCAGTTTCTTTTACTTTTTTAAGATTTATTTATTTGAGAGAGAGCAAGCAAGAGCACAAGCAGGGGGGAGGGGCTGAGGGAGCGGGAGAAGCAGACTCCCCACCGAGCAGGGAGCCCGACACGGGGCTCCATCCCAGGACCCTGAGATCACGACCAGAGCCGAAGGCAGACGCTTAACCGTCTGAGCCACCCAGGCGCCTGTTTGCCAGTTTCTTAATGACACATACCTACCCTACAACTCCACAATTCCACACCTCGGGTTTTTGGTTTTTTTTTTTGGTTTGTTTGTTTTTAAGATTTATTTATTTTAGAGAGAGAGAGAGAAAACCACAAGCAGTCTCCCCGTGAACAGGGATCCCAACATGGGGCTTGATCTCACGACCCTAAGATCATGATCTGAGCCAAAATCAAGAGTTGGACGCTTAACCGACTGAGCCACCCAGGCACCCCCCCACCTCGTTTTTTACCCAAGAGGAACGAAAACCTGTGTCTACAAAGAGACTCTTATGAGTATGTCCATAGCATCTTTATTTGTAATAGGGCTACACTGGAGACGCCCATCACCCAGAGAACGGTTGTGGTGTGTCCTCCCATCAGTGAAGAGACTGGCCCACTTGGTACACGGCAGTGTGTACCACCACCCTCCGAGGCAGTGCAATGGGTGAAAGCAGCCAGGCAGAAAGGCTGCAGACTGTTTCCATCCATATTTAGTCCAAAACAGACAAAACTAATCCATGCTCAGGTCCTATCAGTGGTTGCCTGATATCTAATCAATGTAAATGTAGGATTGGATTGAACTGGAAGGCGTCAAGAGAGACCTTTCTGCAGTGAGAAAGATGTTCTATGCAGAATGTGTGTGTTACTCAGGGATGTGCATGTGTCAAAACTCACAGACTCGCACACTGTGTCGCCGTATGTCAGTTCACCTCAATTAAAAACCAGAACAACAACAACAAAAAATCTATGGATCCTACAGCTGTTGAAAAAGATAGTAAGGGAATTTTTTGAATTTGATACCAATGAATTTGACAACATGGCTGGAATGTAAACACTATTTCAAAGGCACAGAGCAATAAAGCTCATTCCAGAAGAAATAGCCTGAAGAGCCTCATTTCTAATCAAGAGATTTAACCCATAGTTTAAAACCTTCAAAAAAACAAAAAAGAATTCACCGATGGGGGCGCCTGGGTAGCTCGGTTGGTTGAGCATCTCACTCTTGGTTTTGGCTCAGGTCATGATCTCAGGGTCGTGGGATCGAGCCCCGCGCTGGGCTCCGTGCTGGGCGTGGAGCCTGCTTGGGATTCTCCCTCTCCCTCTGCTCCGCGCCCCCCTCGCACATTTTCTCTCTAAAATAAATAAATAGATCTTTTTAAAAATTCACTGGTGAACTCTTCCAAACATACAAGGATAACATGTAATTTCTATGCTAATTTTTTTCATAAAAATAAGGAGTGAACGCCTCCCTATCTCATTTTATACCAATATTGCCTTGCTACCAGAACCAGACATTACAAAGAAAAAAAACAAACACCATTTCCCTTCATAAATATAAACATTAAAATCTTTAACAACATTTTAGAAATTCAAATCCAGCAGTAGGGGCGCCTGGGGGCTCAGTCGGTTAAGCGTCGGCCTTCGGCTCTGGTCGTGATTCCAGGGCCCTGGGATCGAGTCCCGCGTCGGGCTCCCTGCTCCGCGGGAAGCCTGCTTCTCCCTCTGCCTGCAACGGCCCCTGCTTGTGCTCTCTCTCTCTGTCAAATAATAAAATCTTTAAAAAAAAAGAAATCCAGCAATAAGTGAAAAGGATAATACCTATGAGGGAGTGGAATTCATCCCAGGACTGGGAGGATATTCGAGCCCATGATGTAATTCACTGTATTAACAAACTCAAACGAGGAACACATGCTCATTTCACTAGATTCAGAAAGAGCCCATGAGGGAATTCAGCGTCCGCTCAGGATGAAAGCTCCCGTCGTACTTCGTGGCCAGAGACTCAGTCTTTCCCTCAGAACTCAGGAACAAGGCACACTTCTTCCTCTCTGAGACTAGGAGAAAATAGTCATCAGGACTTGTAGCCTTAAAAACCTATTAATAAGAAAAACCCACTAAACACCAGGACAGAACCTCCAGTTTGACATTCCACGGAAGATGTGCAAACGGCAGACCCAGGAAGAGATGCTTAGCGTCCGAGTGTTCCTGGGAGCCGCCCAGCCGGGGACTGGCCGACACTGGGTAAGCTGGCCTGGCCGGGTGCTGGGCAGGCACGCGCAGCAGCCTCTAGAGCTCTCGCTCATGGCTGTGGGAGCAGACTCGTGGGGCCCCCCCCGGGAACGTTTGGTAGCTTTTTATAATGTTAAAAATACACCTAGCACGTGACTCGGCAATCCCTTCAGATAGTTAGAAGGCCGCTTGGGCAAGGCCTTCACTCCCGGAGCGACCACCTCCGCCAGAGAGCTATGGGATGTGTGAGCTGCCTCCAAATCCCCCTCCCCACGGAACCTCCTTCCAACCCTTCACAAAAGTTCCCTGTGAGCATTTCAGATTGTTTCCGTCTCCAGTCTGATTGCTTTCCATCCTTCCAGGATTCCTACCCTTGTCGGAGTGTATGTGCGCTTTCTACCATTTCTAAGAGCCTGGAATAGAACACGTGTGTGTCTGCCTTCTGGTCTCTGAGTGGTTTCCTGATCTAAAAATTATAGTACAGTCTCCTCCTTTCCATTTCGTTGGAAGAACCAAGTAACATAATGATGTCAAAGAGCCACGTTAGTGGAAGCGAAATACTGATAATTACAACCAATGTGTTCTCCAGATGGAGTGAGAAGCCAGAGGTGAGCTCTCTCATTAATAATGTAACTGTTTCACAAATAAATCGTTCTTGTCTACATAGCTCCTACTTGAGGTGCCCCATCCTTCCCAGGAAAATCCTAAAGTGCGTCACCCAGAAAAAGTAAATTAGTGCTGCATTTTTAAGAAAGGTAGAGGAAATATACACAGTAGACAGAAACTTCACTAACAAAAAACAGAAAACCCCCAAAACAAAAACCCTCTGTTCATCTTATTAAAAGGATGTAGGAGACCTACACATACGAATATGATGATCAAATATTGTGCGAAACAGAACATGTCGATTGCAAACCCATGCGTGGTTCCGTTTTTTGTAAAAACAAAACCAAACCAAACCAACACGTGGTTTCTGCGTCAGCATGTGCAGAATCTGGCAGGCTGCCCCCCCCGCCCCCTCCCCCACCGCCCGCCACCTGGCACCTGCACCAGGTGAGGCTCACGGAGGCCGGGCGGGCGGCAGCGGGCGTTGTGGGGGCAGCAGGAAGGCTGCACAGAGCTCCAGGGGCCTCCAGCCTCAGCCACCACCCCCTCCACAGGGACCCCGCCGGGACCACACGGTCCCTCCCTCCCTCCCGGTGCCCCGCCCTGGGTTCAGCTATCCCTGGCCCTGTGGCCTTGAGTAACCTTTCCCTCCCTCCCCTCCCCCCACCCCCGCTTCCTCCGGGGCCACCCCGGGGGGTGGCAGCAGCTTCTGCCGCCCAGGGCCCCACCCAGCCTGAGGCACAGGCACCCCAAACCTCAGGCTTCAGCTGCTTACCTGTGTGGCCAGAGGTGCAGGCCCAGCTTCTGAGCAGCTCCCCCTCTTCACAGGAGGGGAGGCCAGACCTGGGGCCACACCTGTCCTGGGGCCCCAGCCCCGGGCCGGCCCGCTGGGCATAGCCAGCATGGCTCCTACCTGGATGCCCCTGGGCCCCGCGAGGCAGGCAGAGCCTCTGGCCGAGGGAGCTGTCCCGGAGGGGCCGGGGCTGAACGTGGCCTGTGCTGGGGGGTTCCAACACGGGCCCCCAGGCTTGGGAACTGGGGGTGGGGGGAGGTTCTCGGAAGACTCAGTGAGCCCATACTCTGTCCACACTCGGCGGCAGGCCTGGGGGCTCTCTGCCCTCCCCCCATGAGACCCACCCTGGCCCGAGCCGGGGGGGGGGGGGGGGG